GAGAGCTCTTGACAGAAACTGCTCTTTTTCAAGAACAGCTCTTATCAGAACTACGGCTTGCCCAAGGTCATCCAGCCAGGTGCAAGTGGAAGAGTGGGGAATCAAACCCGGTTCTCCCAGATTAGAGTCCGCACAATTAACCACTACACCAAACTGGCAAAATGGCAAACCACTACACCAAACTGGCAAATGTAAGCTCCTTTGGTCCCCGCTGTGGAGAAAGGCAGAGTACATAGGAAATAAATAAATAATAAATAAAACTGAAGATGGGAGGCAGATAAAAGGTAGTTTGGTGAATGGCTGAGAAGGTGAGAATCAGTCAGGGAAGGGAGTGGATATGTGGGTTGCCAGGAGAAGGGTAAGAGAAAATAGTGTGGAGAGTGGGATACAGGGGAAAGTGAGGTGCCACCCCATAATTCCTTGAGGGTTCCCTACCAAGCAAGTGGACCTGGCCCAGTGGCCGGCACCACAATACTGGGCCATAGTTTTTCTAGGTAGAGGCTGCTGGTGGGGGAGGAAAAGGAGATAAAGGGGCAAATACAGTTAGGTTGGCTGTTGAATGGGAAGGATAGAAAAAAGCAGGAAAGGGGGAGATGCTGTGGGGGCTTTCAGGGAAGGAAAAGAGGAAATAGTGGCGGGGAAGATGAGATACCTCCTGCAAGTCATTGCAGGTTCCCAGTTACAATAATCTTTACTTTTTAGTCATTCTTCCTTCTAATCAGTATTTGGCTGTTCAGAGGAAAGCACTCTCAATCCAAGATCATATTTCCATTTCAGCACCTTTTGTACAGAAAAACTTAAGGTTTTTAGTTACTTTTCTCATCACTGCTTGCCCACACTATTCTTTGGAAGAAAAAGAAATCACTTTTTTAAAAAGACAGTTTGTGATCAGCAGCTGTTCAGCTGTTCTGTCTCTTGCCTGTTGCCATTTTTGTAGTAACACCTCATCTATGGGAACCTCCCTTCCTGGTATCTATGAAAACTTTTTTTGCACAAGATGATGACATTTTTGTTGTCTCAGCATATGTCAGTGACTAGTGCTTCCTCTGTTAATTAATGCTTAGTTTCTAAATCTCAGTTTTAATTGTTGCTTTTAGTATTTTAGCTTGTTTGTTGTAGCTTGTTTATTGCTAAAGAGCCAGTTTGGTGTAGTGGTTAAGTGCGCGGACTCTAATTTGGGAGATCTGGGTTTGATTCCCCACTCCTCCACTTGCACCTGGCTGGATGACCTTGGGCAAGCTGTAGTTCTGATAAGAGCTGTTCTTGAAAAATAGCAGTTTCTGTCAAGAGCTCTCTCAGCCCCACCTACCTCACAGGGTGTCTGTTGTGGGGAGGGGAAGGGAAAGGAGTTTGTAAGCCACTCTGAGACACCTTTGGGTAGTGAAGGGTGGGGTATAAATCCAATCTCTTCTTCTTCTTCTAAAGTACTGTAGAGATTTTCCCATTTTATTTTCATTAAGTTAGGTGTTTGGGGTTTTTTTGCACTACTTTGAATCTTGCTTAGGAAAAGGCCTAGAAATGTTTGTACATTTATGTTGAACTTTCAGAATAAGAAATATTGTTCAGATAAGACAATACCACTTAATTTTAAATATTTATATCCTGCTTTAAATACAGTTTGACGTATTAACAAAATACCATCACCAATAAACAAATTTTAAAAATGCAGAACAAGAAAACTGGTGACTGAAGAGCATTTCAAACTAATTAACCAGAGGTCATTTCGGGGGGGAATGCGGGGGAACGCAGTTCCCCCGGGTGAGGTGCAGGGGGGCGGGGCACATGATGAAGCCCCGCCCCCTGCTTCCGGCCGCCCCGCTTCCGGCACTCATTCAGCCAGGAGAAGAGGGAGGGTAAGTTGCTTCCTCCCCGCCTCTCCCCACCCCTGCCTGCCTCGGGCCAGGGAGGGCCTTGGCGGGGCTTCCTCGCACTTCCGCTGGCCTTGCAGGTCCACCGCCGGGCCCCTGATGTCAGGGGGTGTGGCATATGCTAATGAGTTATACTAATGAGTTCCCCTAGCTCTTTTTCTACGAAATGACCCCTGTAATTAACTAAGCTTGAACACCAAGCTGAGGAGTGAACTGTAAGCATCATGTTTTATTTATTTATTTATTTGTGGTATTTTTATCCCACCCTCCCTGCAAGCAGGCTCAGGGCGGCTTACATTACTTGGCACAGTGTACCAAGTGCATATAAAACAGTTAAAACCATTTAAAACAAATAAACCAATTTACAATTAAAGTGCTCACAGTGTTATTAAATCAAGATGGCATACCATACAGTGTGGCATCCAAGCACCCATCTCAGCGGTCTCCTAGCATATCAAGCTAATATGGCTCGCTTTCAATGACAGCCAGCCCAACGCCACCCATGTTAATAGTGGACGTTGATAGTAGTGATGGATGGCTCCTAATTGAAGACCTGGTGGAAGAGATCCGTCTTGCAGGCCCTGTGGAATCCCGCAGGGCCCTGATCTCCTCTAAGAGCTCATTCTACCAGTAAGGAGCTGCCACAGAAAAGGCTCTGGCCCTGGTGGCAGCAAATCTGGCCTCCTTGGGGCCTGAGATGACTAGTCGATATTGCGACCCTGACCGTAGTGCTCTCTGGGGTATATATGGGGAAAGGCGGTCCCTCAGGTATGTCGAACCCTGGCCATATAGGGAGTTAAAGGTAAGTATCAGCACCTTGAAGCGATCCAGTATGCTATTGGCAGCCAGTGCAGTGCCTTCAGCACAGGCCGGATGTACACATCAGCAGCCCGACCACGGCATTCTGCACTAGCTGCAGCCTCCAGATTTGGGACAGGGGCAGTCCCATGTAGAGAGCGTTGCACTAGTCTAATCTTGAGGTGACCATCGCGTGGATCACTGTAGCCAGGTTGTCGCGATCGAGGTAGGGGGCCAACTGCCGAACCAGCTGAAGATGGTAAAAGGCCAACTTAGCAGTGGCTGCAACCTGGGCCTCCATTCTCATGGAGAGATCCAGGAGCACTCCCAAGCTCCTAACCCCCGACACAGGCACCAATGGTGCCCCATTGAAGGCCGGGAGTGGGAGCCCCAACCCCGAGCCATCTCGACTCAGGCATAGGACCTCCATCTTTGCTGGATTTAGCTTCAGTTGACTCAGCTTGAGCCAACCAGCCACGGCATGCAATGCCCGGCCCAGATCTTCTGGTTTGGAGCCCGACTGGCTGCCCAACATCAGATAGAGCTGAGTGTCATCATCCCAACCCATACCTCTGGGCTATCTGGGTAAGGGGGCGCATATAGATGTTAAAGAGCATCAGGGACAGCACCGCCCCTGAGGCACTCCGCACTCAAGCGGGTGTCTCCGGGACTGCTGTTCCCCTAGCACCACCCTTTGTCTCTGACCTCGGAGAAAGGAAGCAAGCCATTGCAAGGCAAGCCCCTGTATATATATATTTCCCTTACATATTGGCCTTTTGCAGCTCTCTCATTGGCTGTGCAGTGCGCTCCATTGGCCCATCAACCACCACTCAAGAGTAGTTGCGTGCCATTGGCTGGGTGCTGGGTCCGCTCCTCTCCCCCATCCACTGCCAGCCTGGACACTCTACTCTCACAGAATAAACTACAAAACGGCTGTCTCTCCTGACGAAGGCACTTCTCCTGCTTGGCTCCTGTGGGACTAACGTTTCCCTGAGTGGGTGTTGTTAGGCAACCATACTTGGTTCTGTCAATAAAAAGGCAGAGGCAGGAGGTGCTTTCCAGGCCTTTGTGGGGAACTCATTGGGACCAGTCCTGACTAGGATTGCCAGCTCCAGGTTGGAAATTCCTGGATTTTTAGTGGTGGAGTCTATGGAAGCCAGAGTTTGGGTAGGGGAGAGGCCTCCGCTGAATAGAATGCCATAGAGCCCACCCTTCAAAGCAGTTATTTTCTCTGGGGGGGGGAAAGAGATGTGTTGTCTGGAGTTCATTTAAGAACATAAGAGACGCCAATGTTGGATCAGGCCAAGGGCCCATCCAGTCCAACAGTCTGTCACACAGTGGCCAAAAATACCAGGTGCCATTAGGAGGTCCACCAGTGGGGCCAGGACATTAGAATCCGGTGATCCTCAGGCCCCACCTGGAGGTTATCTACCTTAGGCGTAGCAATTAGTGCTTCAGAGCAGGGTCTGCCAGACCCAGGTTCTTGCTGTGGAAATTGAGTGGGTGATTTTGGACCAGTCACAGACTTTCAGCCTAACCTACATCACAGGTGCAGATCAAAAAGAGGAGAGGAGAATGATGTAAGCTGCTTTGGTCTCCACTGCAGAGAAAGACTTTACATTTCCACCTGGGGAAGCATTGCTGCCAATCTCCAGGTGAGGGCTGGAGACCACTCAGAACTAAAACTGCTCTCCAGATGGCAGAGATCGGCTCCCCTGGAAAAAATGGCTGCTTTGCAGGGTAGACTCTGTGTCATTATACCCTGCTGAGGTCGCTTACCTCCTGCTTGGGTCCCCACTGCTGAGAAAGACTGTAGTTTTCTTAGGTAGAGTTTACAGGGAGGGGATGGAAACCTGAAGTCAGAGGGGCAGATAATGGTACGTTGATGGCTAGCTGGGAAGAAAGTAGGGTTGCCACCTCTGGGTTGGGAAATTCCTGGAGATTTGAGTGGTGGAGCCTGGAGAGTGGGGTTTGAGGAGGGATGGGACTTCAAACAGGTACAAAGCCATAGACTCCACCCTTCAAACTAGCCATTTCCTCCTGGGGAACCGGAACCATTGTTACCAATCTCCAGGGGAGGCCTGGAGATCACTCAAAACTGGTTTCCAGATGGCAGAGATCAGTTCCCCTGGAGAAAACAGTAAGCTCTGTGTCATTACACCCTGCTGAGGTTACCACAGCAAATTGACTGAGTGGCCAAGGCCAGGGCACCCGCCCAGAGCCTCTTTCTAGAGCTTGTTGTATTTATTTTCACAATGGGCCTTATTCCTAGTATGAAATATGTGTCAAACTAGTTAAGTTGCTGGCAGTTCTATGTGTGTTTTTTTCCTTTAGGTAGCTGGAACACTGGGCCCTGATTCAAACTGGAACCATGCTATGGGAAGAAAGTGAGTGTAGACTTAATCCATACTTTTCTCATTACTTTCAAAACACACCTGTAGGCTACAGTTTGAGGAAATGTTGGAGAAACATATAGGTCCTAATACTGGACCTACCTCACCTCCCTACCCCAGCAAAGTCCCAATCAGAAACCTCCACATGACTCACACAGTCTTACCTGCTTTGTCTTGTCTGATGCCTAAATGTTTATCGTGAAGGTGCCAGGTAGACACCTTAAGTGAGAGAATTCCAGAAAAGAGGCATTACACAAGAGGAGCTCTTTTTTATCTGAACTATTTGAAAGGGAAGATGCAAGTTTGATACTGAATTCTTCCTCAGGCTGTATGTTGATGAAATAAAGTACAAATTTAAATGTAGATGTTTTGGTGTCTAACATGACAATCTCTTTGGTTTATGCTATGGCTTATACTAAGTTTACAACCTTTATCAGTCTCCTAATATGGAAAAAGGAAATTGGGGAAACTGGTAAGAATCTGAAAAGTCTTTGCACTGATTGCATTCTAGAAAGGCATATAGGAGTTTGTTAGACAACTTGCAATATTGGATGCTTGGCAAATACTGTACTTCTTTTACGTTGTAGAGAGTAGCTTACTTGAGTATTGTGCAGATAGCTCTATCTTGTGGCCAACAGTGGAGTTGCAGACAGCTATTTGCAGAAAACTGTTCCAAAACACTTGTTTTGGGATACTAATACTGAATCTGCTAATAGAGATTTCATTAGCAGTCCCTGTTTTGGGGATTCTAGGCTTTCCTAACATAATTACGTCATTTCCATAATGTGCCTCCCCCCCCCCCCCACATGGTATGTACAACACTTGGGAAACTACATGTAATGTTTACATGTCAACTCTTTTAGGAACCATTTTTAACCAATTTGTTTCATGCAGTTTTCCAAGATGAAAGTAACTGTAGGCAGAGTTCACTGATAGTTGAAAAGTGCTTGAACTCTCAGCTTGCAAACTTGGCAAGAAAAGCTACCGCTACACATGGTCTCACCTATTGACAGAAAAGGATGGATAAGACCTCTTCCACAAAATCTTTTTTGAGAGAAATTAGAAATACACTAGTGGGAGAAGTGCAAGGACTTAAAAGGGGCATCTCATTTCCTCTCCTCCTGCTATTTCCTGTTTTACCTCCCTGAAAGTCCCAACAGCCTCTTTGCATTTTCTTTTTCATTCTCTCAACCTCACTTGACTTGCCCTTGTCTTCTGCTTGCCCTCCCCCCCAGTAGTTTCTCCTTGGGAATACTTTGGCCAAGTCTGTGGTGAGTAAACAACAAGGACTTGTGAGGGCACCTCACTTTTCCTTTTATCCCCATCCCCACCTTATTCCTGCTCTCCCTCTTTCTGGCAACACCCATCCTCTCCTGTCCTTGCTTTTTTCTCTTCTTCCACCAACCTACCTTTTATCTGCCTCTCATCTTCATCTGTATTATTTACTTCATTTATAGTATGCCTTTTCCCCTAATGGGCACCTTCTCCATTTTATATTCACAATAACCCTGTGAGATAGTTTAGGCTGAGAGTATGTGACTGACCCAAAGTCACACAGTGAAGTTCCATGGCTGAGTGGGAATTCCTGTCTGGCTTTCCAAGATTCTGCTCTAAAACTTGGACCACTGTACCCCACTGGCTTTTGTGCAGTGGCTGCTGTTGGATAATAGCAAGTTTATGGACCTTTGTGAACCATGCAAGTTGTGTAGTAGTACGTTCTTGATGTTTGCTGCCAGGCCTGGCCCTGATGAGTCCTGCCTCATGGCCAAAATAGCCCTGGAAAGGGCCTCCCCCTTTATTGGCAGAAATCGAGGCTTGAAGTCAAGCCAATACTGTTATAGTTTCATATCAACCCTGTACAATGGCCACTGACACAACATTTATCTGTTAAAGCTATGGGGTCTGCATTTATTATTTTTGGGGTGGGCGTTAACACCCTCCCAATGTGGGTTTTTTTTAATTTCAGATTTTTTCCCTGCAAACTTGGGACTTTTTTCATGTTTGAAAAAGGATCTGTCCTGTATGTTCATTAGATTTAAGTATCCACAAATGGGCCCATGCTGAGAATTAGATATATTAAAATATTTACCTATTCAGCTATAGTTTAGAAAGTATTTGTCCAAAAATCTTTAAACACATAACTCAAATTGCAGTTAGAGTGTATGAATGTCCTCCACACTGTCAGCAGTGCTCTAAGTAGGATCCCAAGAAACTGTGCTTTGTGGGTCTTCCTATGTGTTTCCCCTCCTTTCTTTTCCCAAGGTTTTTGTTGTCTGTGAAACCATAGATAATGCCCCCTTGATATTATTAGGGACTGTGGTCTATACTATAGTGTATGGCTTATTGAAACTAGGATCCTACTGTATAATTATGCATCATTTAATGTGTCGTGTTAGTACTTAAGCTTTGCTTCACTTCTGTTTTTATATTTGTGGTTGGTTCTACAACCTATTGCATTGTTTATTGAATGTCCCATCTGTAGATTACAGGGCTATTTTTGGGCAGGAACGCACAGGAACAGAGTTCCGGCTGGCTTCAGAGTTGGCCACGCCCACTACAGCCAAAACCTCTGAGTGCATGGCTACAGAGGGAAGGCCTGGAGAGCGACCCACCCGGCAACTCTGAGGCGGGTGGGCCAGGGGCCCCCTGGAAGGATCGGGGGGCATTTAAATGCCTCCCCATGCCTTCCCCAGCCTTCTAAGGGCTGGCTTGCCCGGGCTTCCCACAACCACGGGCTGCCTGGACAAGCCAAGGGAAGGCAGTTTAAACTGCCTTCCCTTCCCTTCAAGGGGGGGCTTGCCCGGGCTCCCCGCAGCCACAGAGCACCCGGGCAAGCTAAGGGAAGGCATGGGAGTGTGGCTGAATATGCTAATGACCTGTGCTGTTGGGGTGTGGCCTAATATGTTAATGAGTTTCTGCTGTTGGGTGTGGCCTATTATGCTAATGAGTTCCTGCTGGGCTTTTTCTACAAAAAAAGCCCTGGTAGATTGTATTTCATCTTAAGTCCAAGTAAGAAAGGCAGACTTATACATAATGTAAATAAATAAAAATCAACGTAAAGGAATTTTAGTCTTGCAGCACGGCTGAAATTACAGCTTTAAAATAGCCGGGGCATGCATGTATGATGCTGTAGGATGAGACAGATCAAGATGGGTAGCTGTGTTTGTCTGTCTATAGCAATAGAAAAGAGCAAAGGTCCAGTAGCATCTTAAAGACTAACAAAATGTGTGGTAGGGTATGAGCTTTCATAAGACATTGCTCACTTCTTTTCAACTTTTGAAGAAGTGAGCAGTGACTCATGAAAGCTCATACCCTGCCACAAATTTTGTTAGTCTTTTAGGTGCTACTGGGCTCTTACACTTTTCTACTGTAGGATGGGAGAATGGGAGCCTTCCTTGGCAAGTAACGCTGCTGGTTAAGTGGGAAACAGGTGCTTCTCCTAAAATTCTGAACTGCTGCATGAGTACTCCCATATTTAAGTATTATAGCAAATATAGCCTTTATGCTCTTTTAAAATCATTTAAATTTTAAGGATTTAAGGGATATGTCCCATTTTTCACTGGGGCAGCACAGTAGATAACTCAATGAAAACGTCGCGGCAGTGTGCAACTGCAATAAAAAAGGCCAACACTATGCTCGGGATTATTATGAAGGGAATTGAAAACAAATCAGCCAGTATCATAATGCCCCTGTATAAATCAATGGTGCAATCTCATTTGGAGTACTGTGTACAGTTCTGGTCACCACACCTCAAAAAGGATATTACAGCATTGGAAAAAGTGCAGAAAAGGGCAACTAGAATAATAAAAGGGTTGGAACACTTTCCTATGAAGAAAGGTTAAAGTGCTTGGGGCTCTTTAGCTTGGAGAAACGACGGCTGAGGGGTGACATGGTCGAGGTTTATAAGATTATGCATGGTGTAGAGTAGGTAGAGAAAGAAGTACTTTTCTCCCTTTCTCACAAGACAAGAACTCGTGGGCACTCAATGAAATTGCTGAGCAGTCGGGTTAGAACAGATCAAAGGAAGTACTTCTTCACCCAAAGAGTGATTAACACATGGAATTCACTGCCACAGGAGTGGTGGCAGCCACAAGCATGGACAGCTTCAAGAGGGAATTAGATAAGCATATGGAGCAGAGATCCATCAGTGGCTATTAGCTACAAGGTATAGATAGAAACTCTCAGTCTGGGGCAAGTGATGCTCTGTCTTCTTGGTGCTTGGGGGGGGGGGTCAACAGTGGGAGGGCCCCACTGATGGACCTCCTGATGTCACCTGGTATTTCTGGCCACTGTATGACAGAGTGTTGGACTAGATGGGCCATTGGCTTCTCTTATCCAACATTGGCTTCTCTTACGTTCTTATGATGTACAGCCATAAGAGTAGGATTGAGCTGCCAGGGGTATACTCCTCTGTGTGGTCCAGGCTTCTTCTTGGGTTTTCCACATTCTTTAGTCCTGAGGGTGACTTTAGGTGTTGTGTGGGTATATGGGTCCACTTGAGGGGTTGTTGAGTCATTATTTCTTCCAGGTTACTAACTAGAGCCTACTGTTGCGTGAAACCTTCCTCTGTAGATCCTGAAGTACATGGGGTGTTGGGGACCATGGGGCAAGCCACCTCTGAGGAGCTTTCATTCCATGCTGTGGTTGGTTCAGGGCAGGTCCCAATAGCATGGGCAGAGGTTGACTTGTGTTGTTTGTTAATATCATAGACACTGTCCTGAGTGTGTGTGCCTCAGGCATAGCTACATTCAGTAGAGCACTCTCAGTTAAATGAATATACAAGCACAAGATAGGTAAGGACAGAATCCATGCAACAAATAGTTAACCGCTACAGAATGCCCAAGCTGTGCAGTTTTGGATGTTTAACCCCAGAATTTTGAAAGATTTATAGAATTTACAGAATTTGTTGAATCTTACGTTTTTGGCATGACTTCTGTCTGTCTGTAGATAAGTGTTTCTTATCTTCCTGGTATCATTGGTCTGCTGGAGAGTCA